TATCAAGACAGCACAATGTGAGGCTTTCTTTATAGTTACTCCTCATCCTGAACCTCGATCGTGAGCCAGGTGAGGCGGCCTAATCGTCCTACCACTAACACTTTTACCTCCTTCCCTTTCCTTGCTTCCTCCAGGCGCATCAATAGCTTAAGCTGTCATGGGATCGTATTCTGGCCGGGAAGGATTTACTGGGCGCAAATCCTTAACTGTAGCCTCTGTTTAACTCAACAGTAAAATGGGTACTTGGTTGTAACAACGATTCTTCGCGGTGGGGATCGTATTCCAGGGACCTGCCCGAAACGCTACGCGTACTAGTGGCTGTACAAGAATGTAACAACTCTTGTATATATCTCACAAAAAAAGCTAGTGTTAACATTGAGTCGAGGCGCAGTAATATTAATAGCTTGCAAACTCTGTAGACTTGACAGTTCCTGTAAGATCAACACAGTTGGTCTTATGCTGTACAGTATGCTGCACCAGCTTGGAAATCTTACGTTATAGAGCTAAAAAAAAAAATCGAGAAAGTTCAGACAATTGCTAGACTGTGACAATAATAAAGGCTAAAAACTGAGCCTTATAACACTGGAAAGAGGAGCCATGATCATAACGTACAAAATACTAGAGGGTAAGGACACCGAAGCATGGGAGGAAAAACAAGAGTACCTTGTCAGCAGAGACGAGTTAAAGATACATGATGTACTTCATAGTAGCGGGTAGTAGGCAAGCGAAATGCGCTAACAAAAAGTAGACGAGGCTAACTCCATACATGCTTCCAAAAGTTGATGTGCTGTGACTCCCTACTCCTTTGTCATAAGACCGATAGATAAAAGGTTGGGGGGCCAAGAACTGGAGCTCCAGTCACACAAACACAGGTAGGTAAGAACACAGACGGGATGAATCGTGGCCCATGATGACAACTCCCACAAGTCAAGCGTAAACACGTTCAACGTCCACATTTCTCAGGATTTGACTATTTGATGTTTTTACCGTGTAAGTCAGTCGCTAATCCCCCAACCCTCTCTTGTTTGCTGGCAATGACGTTGATATGAAAAGATGTGAAGATATACTTACATTGTTCGCTTACTTAATCAGTTTATTATTTTAATGATATATTAATTACTACCGGTATTGTTATTTGTGTTCTTATAAAATAATCCTAGGAGTAGGAAATGCTTGAACTAATGAAAAATTTCACAGAAAAATATATTTAATTGTTTCAAGGACTAGCAAGGTAAAAAATATGCACAGACCCAGTGTCAAAAGCTTTGGAGAGAAATACTCTTTTGTCTCATTCCCCCACCAGACAAACAAAAAGCACGAAAACGCACAACTGAAAACTCGGTACATTGTTAAAATCTTCCATTTATATTTATGGCACGAAATCTTTAGAAGTTAGTGTTCACAACAACTTATAAGACCTGTAGAATTGTATCACTGTAAATATACAAACCTGTTGTGAAGCAGAAGCTTCAACCTGTTGTGAAGCTTTTATTACAACTTTGCGTATGTGTTTATGTAACAAATATGTGACTAATAAAACAGAGGCATCAAGTGAAAGAAAAAGCTGCCCAATCGTCAATATATTTCCACGATATTCCTGTTATAATCCTACTGTGCAGACCAGATTTTGTCCATCAAAACCCGACATCTTCATGATCAATGTTCGGCTTATCAGACTAGGTTTAAACTAACAAAAGAAATCCCACAGAGAATAGTTATTATTTGGATATTATGGTGTTACTTGCTTGAGATCATGTCAGTATCGGGAGGCAGAGAAAGGGCAATAGTAAATCATTTGATAGTTTTGACCTGCAGACAATAACAGAGCTTCCTTACCTTGTGGTTACCTTGAGTTGGTTCCGAGGATTGATGTCCTCGTGGTCCGGTCTCTAACCATGCCGGGTTCATGGTCCTGTCAGTCAGGTCGTTAGACGCATTTGCATGTTGTCTAGCATATGAATTGAGTTACCCCGATTGATCAGGTAACCTTTGGAGGTGTTTCTCAAGTTCCCTCTTGAACGCGAAGAGAAATCGGCAAGTTATGCCCTTTATAAATATTTAGAGGGAAGGTGTTGAATAGCCTTGAACCCTATTTCATAAAATGTTCGCAAAGCACACGGAAGTACGATTTGAGGGATTTTAATGTTGTTATAAATTCAGCTACTCGGAACAAGTTCCAAGTAGCATGGGTTATGGTGAGCCCGTAACTTACCTGGCACAGGAGCGGGGCAAGTAGCATGGACTATGGTGAGCCCGTAGTAGATTTACCTGGCACACGAGCGGTGCTGAATGTGCTGGGGATTGTAAGTGTTCTCAATAATTTAATGCTTTATTGACTCGCTGGGCTTTGTCCCTAATATTTTAGTAGGATAGCCAATTGTAAGATTCGATGTTGTAATTAAGATTACATTATTATAATGCCCATGTGCAGCAATAGCCTAATGTGTTCTCTAAAAAATATATAGTTTTATTATGATATATTATTCTGCCATCCTGTAGTTGAAGTTACCATTGAAGAGCGGAAGAACCTACCGTCGCTCTACCGTCCAACCACTTGGGCTGGACAGTAGAGCGACGGTCTCGCTTCATACAGGTCGGCGTTTTAATCCCCCGACCGTCCAAGTGATTGGGCACCATTCCCTTCCCCCCGTCCCATCACAAAACCTTATCCTGACCCTTTCCAATTGCTATATAGTCATAATGGCTTGGAGCTGATAATTCTCTTCCCGTCCTAGAGCGGTGGTCCTCAGATTGTGGTTTCTTGGGAGGGGAAATGGACTCTGGTGATGAAAGACCTCAGGTGGTGAAGTTTCTCCGGCTGTAAAGGACGTCCGTGAAGAAAATACTTGATAAAGTGAATCGCAGCGACCAGGTATCTTCTGTTAACTGGTAATTGGCGAGGTTAGGTCTACTGCTGTTCCTTGCCCACCGCCACAATGTTTTCCAACACACTATCGCCTCCAAACTCTCCTCTCTAGCACCCACTACACAGCAGTTTGGTTTGTGTTGGGTTTAGGCATAGGCTATCGTCCACGCGATTGTTAAGATCAAAGCAAAAGTTTACTGCAACCTATCCTCCAATAATCCTATTTTCATGAGCCTAGTTTAGTATATATATGGATTAAATTTAGCCTAATATGTACTTTTTTGGGTAGCTATATGGATATGTATTTTGTGAGGATAGATTGAATATATGACATTAACTGAAGGCTATAATACAATGTATTCCGGACATAAAGCTGCGATTCGCAAGGATCTGACAGGTAAGACTAAGAAAAAAAGTAGGGTTACAATACTCTTGGATTGGTAAGATTGCTATAGGTTAAGTTAAGGTAGATACAATGACGTAGGTAAGGCTAAAATGGGTATGGTTGCGATTAGGGTTTCGTTCTCTGTTGAGCCTAACTAGCAGGGGTGGTCAGAAGTACGCAGCCTAACTAGCAGGGGTGGTCAGAAGTACACAGCCTAACTAGCAGGGGTGGTCAGAAGTACGCAGCCTAACTAGCAGGGGTGGTCAGAAGTACACAGCCTAACTAGCTGGGGTGGTCAGAAGTACACAGCCTAACTAGCTGGGGTGGTCAGAAGTACACAGCCTAACTAGCAGGGGTGGTCAGAAGTACGCAGCCTAACTAGCAGGGGTGGTCAGAAGTACGCAGCCTAACTAGCAGGGGTGGTCAGAAGTACGCAGCCTAACTAGCAGGGGTGGTCAGAAGTACACAGCCTAACTAGCAGGGGTGGTCAGAAGTACGCAGCCTAACTAGCAGGGGTGGTCAGAAGTACGCAGCCTAACTAGCAGGGGTGGTCAGAAGTACACAGCCTAACTAGCAGGGGTGGTCAGAAGTACGCAGCCTAACTAGCAGGGGTGGTCAGAAGTACACAGCCTAACTAGCAGTGGTGGTCAGAAGTACACAGCCTAACTAGCAGTGGTGGTCAGAAGTACAATTCTGAAAGCGATTCTTAGGTAGGAATATTGGTAGATTAATACCATTAACTTTTAAATATACACTTGCATTCTTATTGTCCAAATTTGCCCGTCCGGATATTCTCGTATTTTTATTAGGCGCCGAATAGTAGCCTAAATTTGATCAAGATGGAAAAGTATAGGTTTAATTCAAACTATTTCGTGTTTACATTTTTGATTCATTGTCAAATTTACCCGAGGGCCACTAACACTAGTGGCCTCGACGAGGACAGGAAGCCGGCGGCTTGTGGAAGGTCCATCCTCCCCCCCCCCATTTGCCTCGATGCAAAATTGGTTTGTATGGGCATAGATTGTGTGCAGTGAACATCGTACAAAGTCGTGTGTGACCATGTAGACCTATGTTGATGTGTATCCCTCAAAAAATTGAGCTTTGACTGGCCTAGGGAAGTTAGGTCTTAGTTCAGCACGTGGGCATGGCTGGAAACTTTACTGCTAGTTTGTATATATATATATATATATATATGTCGTACCTAGTAGCCAGAACGCACTTCTCAGCCTACTATGCAAGGCCCGATTTGCCTAATAAGCCAAGTTTTCATGAATTAATGTTTTTTCGACAACCTAACCTACCTAACCTAACCTAACCTAGCTTTTTTGGCTACCTAACCTAACCTAACCTATAAAGATAGGTTAGGTTAGGTTAGGTAGGGTTGGTTAGGTTCGGTCATATATCTACGTTAATTTTAACTCCAATAAAAAAAAATTGACCTCATACATAATGAAATGGGTAGCTTTATCATTTCATAAGAAAAAAATTAGAAAAAATATATTAATTCAGGAAAACTTGGCTTATTAGGCAAATCGGGCCTTGAATAGTAGGCCAAAAAGTGAGTTCTGGCTACTAGGTACGACATATATATATATATATATATATATATATATATATATATATATATATATATATATATATATATATATATATATATATCTGTCACGATGAAGCACAGCTGATACGTAGCAAACAAACAAATTAATACATAACTTATCTTTAAAATACTTATCTTTAACTAGTACTCACCTACGACAATTTCCTTGGTTTTATTCTCATAGGCCATGCGACAGCTTTTCCATATCCCAGAGTGTGACTGCAGAAAGTAGCGCTTGGTGGCGGGCACATATATGCCCTTCCCGCCGTCCACAATTCCCCAGTAATCGGTAGAAACTGCTATTATCCACAAGAGAAGTCCTATGGCCAGAAAGACAGTGACGGCCATCAACACCCGCTTCTCCACCAGCACGGCGTGAGCCGCCTGCCTGTTGACCATCCTGTTTGACACTGGTCGTGCGCCTGCCAAGACCCCGTCCTCCACCCCTGGCGGTGCCGCGTGCCCCTTCCGCAACACTCGTACCTCTTGTTCTTAGGTTGCTTAAGATTTATTCACGAAAGCACTTACGAACCTGTACATCTTTTCTCAATCTTTGGCGGCTTTGTTTACCATTATTAAACAGTTGATGAGCTCCGAAGCACCTGGAGGCTGTTTATAACAATAACAACAGTTGAATGGGAAGTTTTCATGCTTGTAAACTGTTTAATAAATGTAACCAAAACCGTCAAAGATTGAGGAAAGATGTACACGTTCGTAAGTGCTTGCGTAAGTGCTTTCATGAATCTGGCTCCAGCTACTGGCAATAAAACGTTCCAAGTAGCACGGGCTAGGGTGAGCCCGTAGTGGACTTACCTGGCACAGGAGCGGGGCTGTAACTTGACTGTAACTTTAAGTTACAGTCAAGTTACTGTACCTCCTCACCCGTCACATTATACCTCTCCTGCTCCAATGTTTTCACATTGTACCATTTTTAGCTGTAAAAAAAATCCCTGCCCTTGTGTGGCAGTGCACAACAGAAAGTCGATTTTACATATTCATACATTAAAACATTGACTGTAACCATGATATTATATATGTGCTTCAGCCTACAGTTTAGACCTATTGTCTTGTGTATGACCCTCTGTCCTGTGTGACAGTGAATACCAGCATTATCCTCACTTTAATAAGACTTAATTGAAAATTTTGTCAATAAAGATGTTAATAATAATAATGTAATTTCCGCAAACTTTTTTCATTGCTATCTATATGTATCAGCTAAATAGGAATATATTAATTCCTCCTCTATTATGGCTAATCATTATGCAAAGTTTCCTTATAATTTGCTAATGGTTTGATTGCTTAGAACAGGATTAAGCTTGTTAAGCTCATCGAAGTACTGCCTAGGCTGTACCCACAACAATTGACTAATACCTAGCCCAACTACTTGGACTGGACGGAAGAACGACGGTCTCGTTTCATACAGGTCGGCGTTCAATCCCCGACCATCCAAGTGGTTGGGCACCATTTCTTCCCCTCCTCATCCCAAATCCTTATCCTGACCCCTAATTCCCAGTGCTATATAGTCGAAATGGTTTGGCGCTTTCCCCTGATAGTTCCCTTCTCTTCTTGATTTATACATTTGTAGTCCTTCATGTACTTTAAGATGGCAGCACGATCCTGTGTTCCTATAATTAAGATGCTTAATATAAGGCAACATTTTAGGCAGGATTTGTTTTTTACAAATACTGTACCGTGTTGTGATACAATCACAGGACTGTGCAAAGCTAGCTATAGCCGCTGCAACCCATCCTCGACTCAAGTCCATTACATTCAGCGGTCGACCCCACAGACGCATTCATAAATTTTAACATGCTGTTCATTCAAAACGAGAATTTTCTCAAGTATAAATTAATATTATAATATATTAGCATATTATGTATAAATAGGCATAGGTTAGGTTAGGTCAGGTGTTTAGGTTCTGTTGGCGATTATTTGTATTTGTAGTACGTGGGTGAAGCATTTACAGCGTTGTGGTTCGAACAAAATTCGTCAGTGAAGCACTTGTTCCGGATATGTTCGAACGTCAGCAGTTGTGAGTCGTGTGTAAACCGCTTTTCATTAATAAACAAGGGGTTTGGCGGGTGCATGGATTCACTTTTGGATCTTTGTTTGGAGGACGGGCTGAGCCAGATAACCATTGACTGAAGCAATGTCCGATCATTGCTTCGAAGATGGGACACGTATTCTGAGTCAGGTCGGTCAATAATCAACCCGTCCTCGACTCAAGTCCATTACATTCAGCGGTCAACCCCACAGACGCATTCATAAATTTTAACACGCTGTTCATTCAAAACAAGAATTTTCGCAAGTATAAATTAAATTAATATTATAATATATTAGCATATTGTGTATATATAGGCATAGGATAGGTGTTTAGGTTCTGTTGGCGATTATTTGTATTTGTAGTACGTGGGTGAAGCATTTATAGCGTTGTGATTCGAACAAAATTCGTCAGTGAAGCACTTGTTCCGGATATGTTCAAACGTCAGCAGTTGTGAGTCGTGTGTAAACCGTTTTTCATTCATAAACAGGGGGTTTGGCGGGTGCATGGAATCACTTTTGGGTCTTTGTTTGGAGGACGGGCTGCAATAATACAGCCCGTCCTGCAAAGATCCCAAAGGGATTCCATGCGCCCGCCAACCCCCCTGTTTATGAATGAAAAACGGTTTACACACGACTCACAACTTATTTCGTTCGAACACTTCCGGAACAAGTGTTTCACTGACGAATTTTGTTCGAATCACAGCATTGTAAATGCTTCACCCACGTACTGCAAATACAAAAAATAATCACCAACAGAACCTAAACACCTAACTTAACCTAACTAATGCCTAAATGTGCACAATATGCTAATGTATAATAATATCAATACTTATTGGAGAAAATTCCTGTTTTAAATGAACAGCATGTTCATTTGATAAGACATATTGATAAATGCGTCTTTGGGTTGACCGCTGGAGGGAATGGACTGAGGACTGGTTGCAGCGTGATATTATATTATGTACTCACACAACCCAATGTACCTTTTTAAATATAAATAAATAAAATAATTTTTTAACAAGCTTAGGTAAACACAGCAATGTGCTGCTACATTTGAAAGAATACAAAAAAGTGTGAAATAAATTACTCGCACCGACCGGTGAGAGTATCCCACAAAATCAACAACAACAGTGTTCAGAACAGCTATTTACAGATCACATAAAAAATTATTTTATTTGTTTTATACTCGCAAAATGTTTAAACTAAGATAAACAATCCTATCAAAATGAATATAGTTTTAAATTACTTTAAAAAATAAGCCTGGAAAAATTACAGTGATGAGAATAAGTAAGATTATTACAGGCAAATTGTCTTGTGTGTGAGGCGGATGGTACATCTTAGACGGGTCCCGCACCACCCGGCACCCCTTCTGTCTACTGTCCCGTCACTGTCCACTACTCCACTTGCCTGTATTTTTCACCTGCCAGTACTGTCCATTAACCAATGTTGTCAGAACTGTCCACCAGCCAATACTGTCCATCTGCCGGGTTGTCGGAACTGTCCACCAGCCAATACTGTCCATCTGCAGGGTTGTCTACCTGTCACTAGACTACTGTCCACCAGCCTGCCAAGTATTGTGAAGGAGAAGCAAACATTTGGTCTTGCTGCAGTGCTTGTTATATAAAGCAGACACGGTAATCCTAGCCACATCCTTGTAGGCCTTAATGGTGGAGATTGAGTAGGTTTAGCTATAATAATTTTGGTATATTATCGTGACCAGTAAAATAATGTACCGGAGTGTATTTACCCTGCGGGTCACTATTTCTTTAGTGACCTCGACGAGGACAGGAAGCCGACGGCTTGTCTTTGGAGACTTTGTACCCAAGATGGTTCACCAATGGATTTTAAAACCTTCCTTACACAGTCTAATCTAACAGTATATATATATAAACTATATATATATACATAATATATATATATATATATATATAATAATATATATATATAAACTATATATAACTTAATATATAGTTAACAATTTAGAAAAAAAATTGTTGGAATGTCTAGGATTTAACTGTACAAATAACACTAATTGGATTGCTGCTAATAATTAAATTGATGGGTTAAGTAGTGCCAGAGTGTATTTAGCTGTGGTGGTGTTAAGAGTTTATAAGTACAGTAACATTTTGTACTCTGTTATAATACTGGGAATGACTTTGTTGTTTCATTAGCTAAGAAAGAATATCAAATTTTGTCCATTGGCAGAATTTTTACTTGGGCGAGTTCTAGTGAGATTAGATTGGGATTATATTGATATCTAAGTTCAAACAAATATCCTATTTTGAGGGCTCTACATTCATTTGCATAGCAAATGCCCATATGAATATTACTTCTATTGCTCATTATTAATAGACTAGTGAAATAGCTTAAAATAAACCAGGCTATTTTCCCATAAATAATTATATAATTAGTAAAGCTATTTTCTGTGATGTAATTTAGCTCATGTCTGGCCATTGTTCTGTGATTGGAAATTTACCCACTGTCTTCCTTAATACTGATATTTCTGTTGAACTGGCAAGTTTTGCAGCTTTAGTGTAAAGAATGATATACATTAATTGTTAAATTGTCTTATTTTACTCTTTTTGTTATTATATCGTTTTGGGATTTAGGTCTGTGGTCAGGTACTATAACGAATTAGGTTATTTAACACCATTTGTGTGTACAGTATTTGTCAGAGGCAGGGGCAGATCACCCAATAGGCTGACTTGGCCATGGCCTAGGGTCTGCCAACACCAGATGGCCCACCTGCGGTCTATATGTATGAGTTTAATCTTTGAATAGCCACACTGACTATAAGGTGGGGCCCATTTAGTTGTTTTGGCCCTAGGGCTCAAAAACACATTGTCTCTGGTGAGAGGTGCTTCTGTTGGGTGCATTACATGATAAAAACCATGTTGAGGTGATGGTAAGATTTGCTTACAATTTTGCTTTTCTGTTTAGTCATGGTTCTGCAATAGTTTCCTATTATTAGGAAGAGGAAACCAGTTAGCCTCTGCATATTCAGGTCCCCCAAGCCAAGGACAACGTTGTCCACAGTCGTATAACCTGATACTGGCTAGTTCTAACCATGTGAAACATATTTGCTGAGTAACATGCATATCATCCTCTCCAGCCAAATTAGGAATATACATTTCTGCCTCACTTGGTCTTCAACAATGAATCCACACCCCTTAATACATTGACTTGTTAGAACTTCCAGCCCGTAAGTGAGCAATTTCGGCTGTGTTGGGGACTTGGTCCACAAAAGAAAACAAAATCAGCTTAGGTACATTAAGCATCATCTAATTATACTGTATTTTATTACATAATAGGTCTACTGCAAATATCTTATAATCTATTTTGGTTATCTGATATGGCATATTCTTTACAGATGCTTCATTCTGTGGTGCAAAGTCTGGCAGGTTTCCACCTCAGCCAGCCAGGTTTGGGAGTAGCTGCAAGAGCATTGATTACCAAGGATATCAAGGCCAAGGCTTGTACTGGCCCCCTTCTTCAGCAAGTTCGAGTCAGTCACTGTGGCTTTAATTTTATTAATGATAATTTAATCCCCAAAGAAGTAACATTTATATATCTACAAAAGTGTGAAGAGTTTAAAAACCAATTCTCAATTTATTGCAGAACCTGGCACTAATAGATACACAATGTTAAAAATAATAATATTTATAAAATGTTAAACCATTTGTCTTAATAATGCTAGATGGCAGCCTATTCCACTTATTCACAATCATATATTCAAACCAGTACTTTTCTACATTCCTCCTAAAACAAAGTTGATCAAACTTGTATCCATTATTGCAGGTGCTTACATGTTCCAAGAGTCTCGGAACCCTTATTTAAATGCCTAATCCATTTGGAAAACTTTTTTTTTTTTTTTTTGTAATATCCATAACCTACTTTTCCTATATTAAACTTTTCTATCCAGACTGTTGCCTCCCCAACCTCATAATTGTTTACATATATAAAAACTGTCGAGTTAAATAGTAAAGTTCTATTTTTCTTGTCTTCTGAAACTTCCTCTTTGAGAATGCGGTTTCATTTGTTCACTACATTGTGTGACTGAGCCTCCTGCTTATTGGTATGGTTTATTTACAGACAACATTCATATTAAAGCGTAGAACAAAAGTTGAATTGGCCAAAGCTCATAAGGGACTTACCAGCAGAAGACTGAAGGCACGCCATTTTGTGTATGACTTGGTTGAAGCCACAAATAGCAGGAAACAAGACCCAGTCAAAGTAATTCTCATGGACTCTGTAGATGGTAAGTAGACCTTGGGTTTCATTGGTAGGTCTCTGTATTTAATATTACTGTACTTTATAGTTAAAATGTGTGGGGTGTTTCTTTTTTGCTTTCACGACTGCAATGCGTACGTCGCCAATGTACATGTGGCAGACGCTTCACGAAGCTGTCGGAATTAGCAGAATAGAAAATACGAGAGCAACCGTACAGGGCCTGGGAGCAAGGTCGAGTTAGAGTCCTTGAGGGTCTCTTCTCAGACTAGCCTCACCTGGTCCTGCTCCACGTTGATCGTTGGAATCTCCTCAATGATTTAACATCTTAAGGGACTCCTAGGGTCCTCGTCACATTTATAGTTTGTGACTTATAGGCAACTCTGTGTTGAAGACACTTAGAGCTGAAGGCTTGTGTAATATTTGCAGTATTCAGAAGTGGTTCAATGGAAACACCGCATAAAGCTTAACAGTAGTTTATTTACTAACTTAACCACTAATACACAGGGTGCTTGATTTACTTTAGATTGGCGTCAGCAAAGCTATGGTTGTATTAGCGAGACTCTTGACGTCTGGCTAAACGACTCGTATCCACTCGTGGAGAAACAACTAACTTAACACAGTTGACAGCCAATCATTAACACGGCAACCTAACTGTCGGTATGCAAAGGGATCACAAGAGTTCCAATCGGATACTCGGTAATGATGATATGCAATAAATCAACAACTACACTGTCAATGGGACAGGCAATAACATGCACAATAATATTATCACACAATAACTAAATGTGTGCTGTATGTGAAGCTCACATTCAACAGACGAGTGAAATGCCGTGATACCACACAGATAAACACGCATACACCATCGATTCACCTATGACCTGTGACAGGTATGAGAAGGTGAGAACTGTGGTTGATACCTCAGATCAACACAGACACAATAAACAATGACAAGATCTTGTTGTACTTACAGATAGGTACCTTTTCCTTGCTCACTCACTCACTCAGGCACATTTATACAAGCACTCGTAGGTGGCCTGACAGCTGGCTTCGCTCGTAGACACGGAGGGTACTTGCAGTAGGGCGGGCTGTATGCTTAACAGACAGACACACGCACACCCACTGGCACTGGTGATGAGCAAGGTGGTGACGTCACGTAGTAGTGTGAGGGCGGCGGCGGGCGCTCGAGGCACAGAAGTACAGAGGTACTGGGGTACTGAGGTGCACGCTCGGGACGAGTGGCGGCGGCTGTGGTACCATGCAGGTACACTTGTGGTAAAGTCACACACAGGTTACTTAGGCGGCAGCACTGCCTTAGTTCACTCTTAAGTCACTCACAACGATCTTTGTCACCAGGGGTTACCTGATACCAGTCTGTTTCGCTCTGGAGATTTGTCACTTTAGGCTTCTGAACGATATATTCACACTCGTGATTCTGGGCGAGTGTGGTAGTATACCGTAGAGACGCTGAGTTAACTTGACAGTGAGGAATAGACGGTGTTCAGTCTATTGGCCGGTAGACTGAACAGAACACGTCCACTTTGCTAGAGATCCCTCACAAGAATGCCTGAAGCTCAGGGCGTCTTGTGGCACACACAAGGGGATTACAATTTGACCAATGGCATTGCAGCAAATGAGCGGGAACCAATCATATTACCTCGTTCGATGAGCAGTAGTAGGAGTGACGTCATGAACACGTCACGAACACATCATAGCTGTTATTGTCCATCGCGCCGGTTGACCCCAGAGGTCAGACGCTGCTAGCGTCTCCCCTCTGTCCCACGCTCCACCACCGATGTACTCACTGACCCTTTGGTGGCAAGTATACTTAATTCCCTGTATCTACTTCCTGCCTGGACATACGGCGGCCTCCGTATTATGAAAGTGTTCCTGGTTAAGTGGGCATTCTGGAGATACCCAACATGCCAGGACACTATCCAGGGTTAACAGAAATAGGACCTTGTGCACAAGATCGGTGCACTGTGCACAGTAATGAGCCATTCCAGTCAGCTGTGGGAGAATCTTGAGAGACACTCTCTCACACAATGGGATAAAAGATATCTCTAACCAGTATAATTATTCTAATTAACTTGTCTCGATAGAGAAATGTCAGGTTGAATAATAACTTTAGTAAAGATGACAGCATACATAAGAGCTTTTTAAAATCTGAAACAGTTTTGTGAGACCAGATATAGAAAGGATTAAGCATATCACAATTTATATTACGATATTGTAGTGACAATTTAGCAAGTGGTGATTAAACATAAAGTTGTTGTTTTTCAATGCTTTTGTAATGAATGTTGGCTTTGCAGATTCTATATACTTTCTCTAATTACGTTTTCTTTGATGACGAGTTCAGCATCATTCATCAGGCGTTTCTTTTAGTTTGTGTATGATAAAAATGTTTGTTGTTGCTGTGGCACGTGGACTTAAGCTCATAAGTCCATGTTTGAAGATAATTTATAGAACGGTGCAATGCTTTTGACCATGTCATGGTATAGTGGTCTAGAGCATTGCCTGGGAGTTCCTAGATAATAGGTTCAAATTCTCCACATGGCTCCTACTGATTTTCTCATTGATACATCACATGAATGTGATTTCTTTCTGCAAAAATCTTAAATTGAATGGTGCTATATTTTTAGTTTCTCTACACGCTTTTAAGAATTAACTAACCCTAACACCAGTTTTAATTACCATTATTTTAAATAAGAATTTCATCTCTCGCCATTTCTTATTTCCCTTTTCTCGACTAATGTTTTAATACTTTGCGTTTACATTTTAAGTTAAACTTCCTTGGTGGCTACAGTCCTGTGTAAGTTTTTTTTTTTTTTTTTTTTTAACGACAACTTTTTGTATTGCTACGCACATGCCCTTGATTATCACACTCTACATCCATTTGAGTAATACAGTAGTGTTTTCTTTTCTCATCATTACTGTAGCACTGCATAATTCCTTCCATAACTTGTTTTGCCACATGTAGATGAGGATAATTAAATATACTGTAGTAACCTGTTTGAGTTTTTCTTTTGTGATCTATCTTATATTCTTCCTAAGTCGCATCTATGATCTTCTCGGTTAATACCGTATCTGAGAACCTGAGATCTTCTCAGGTTAACTGTTCAAAGTTGGTTCACAGGGAAAACGTGGTTTACAGGAGCTAAGGAAGGTGATTCTCCACCATCATTGTCCATCATATTCCTGTGGCTATCCTTGGGTTTGCTTTTGTTTTCTGTTATCTGTCCATCCATTCTCCAGTGTTTTCAACATTTTTTTTTACTTTCTCAACATTTCTAACCCTTATCACTTTCCCTTTTTCTATTTCCTGCTTATCATTTTTATTAAGTTTCATGCCCTTCTAACTTGCTACTGGCTAATTCCATTTCCAAGCTTTTCTAGGATGTACACAGTATCTTTTTGATCATGTTGTGTTTATAATTGCTGTTGTATCTTTGCACCCAGTCAGTACATGACATGTCATTTAGTGTGACAGCCACCCACTAGTTATAGTGGGTCCAGCAAGAGTGAGACCAGAACACATCCTTTTAGGATGAATTGTATTACCTGATTGGACAGCTCTCAAAGTCAGTTCTGCTGTAATTGGATTTCATCATAAGAGGGCAGTATTAATGTTGGCCTTTCAAATTCAAAATCTGATCTATAAGAAAAATACTAAACACAAAAGGCATTTTGTGGTAAAAACAAATTTTTGCTTTGATACTCTTTGATATATGATTTAATATGAGGAAAATGGGTAATGCATTATTATATTTTTAATGGGTATAGATTTGATTTCTTTGTCACCTCTGTAGTTTATGTAACCTACCATAGTTTTATTTTGAAGTTTACGTTTGAATATTGATGTGTAAATTAACGTCCACCACCAGGTTTGGGTTCTAAAGGACAAGTATTGGAAGTGAGACCCAACAAGGCCCGAAACCAGTTGTTGTTGCCAGGCATTGCAGTGTATGCCTCGCCCGAAAATGTAGAGAAATATTCTACATTGATGATTGAGGCCTCTAAAGAAGAAGACCAGCCATCATCACAATATGCTCGTCAGGTAAGAATTACTGCATCATGGAGAGTATGGTTTGTGATTGAATAATTGAATAATACTTCATTTGGAAAACCTTGTCAAGCTCTTTGTTAATTTCAAGATCTAAATTGTGCTCAGCAATATTTCGTAACATTACCTGTTTATGAGCTGAAATGACTCAGACCAGAAGTTGGTTATTTTTTATGGCATGCCTTTTAGTTTTAACTTGACATTTTTGCTATCATTATTGTGGTATGCAAATTAAGAAACCTTACTTAATTTATTGAGTGAGATCTCTGAAAGATCTTGTTAATAATTTCTTTTCTAAATATTTATTATTCATGTAAATGACTTGTCTTTTACAAATTGGAAATCTACAAAATAAGAACAAATATTATCTTAGCTATTAGGGTATGTTCTTTTCATTAAGTTTTAATAAAAAGATAATCTGTTTAGTTTTTCCAATTGATTTGAAATTTGATCTACATATTATCTACATATTTTACATTTTTATCATGTTTTAGCACATAAAACTTTCTTCATTTTCCAACATGTTTCACTCTGATGGGACTTTTAAAGCCTTCTAATTGATGCAAAATCAATCAAAATCATTATTATATTAATATTTAATTTATAAGTATGGGTAATGGCAACAGTAGTGTAATTGTGTTTTATCTTTTCAAAGACGGCAGAACAGTTGTCATTGCAAGTCATCTCGGTTAGTATGAACTTGAAAAATCCATGGCAACTTGAACGATGGCATGTGCGAGTTGCCTTTCGTAAAGCTGGGATTTATTTACCAGATGATGCGCTTACACTCCCTTCCGAGCCCATCATTGGCCCAGATCTCAGCCTGCAGGGCAAGGAATTCGTGGTCAGAGTAAAGGTAACTAACTTTTCAATGCTTTGGTTATTGTGCCTACCTACAGATTTGTTAATTCTTTACGAGTATATTTCATTTATTTGGATTTAGAGTAATATAGTTAACAGTACACTGTCCTGCAATATACTAATTTTATTCTACACATGTTTATAAAGTCAGTTTGTGAACATTATATATACTATATTGGCTATGTAATTGCGATTTACATTTGTTTTATATTTCCTTCTCGATGTCTGTGTGAATGTACAAAAGCACAATATAGAATATTGCCCATGTACACTCTATCCTACAGATAAATAATAAAGAAGAAACACCAGTTCGGTGTCGAATTAATCACTATGCGACTAACCCACGCGATCGACTACCCTGGATATATCACCACTGGGAGCTTCCAGCTGAGCCTATCTTTCCAGAGGAGGCTCCTATTCTTCAAGAGCTCACAAAGAAATATCCTAAGCTCCGCACTCTGGAAGAAGAAGAACTCTAAAAATTGTTGTGTGTGCAAGTTCTTTCATAACCAGTTGGCAAAAAAAGTCTAAATGGAAGTAATGCTAAATATTCTTTTATTTTATTCTATTAGACATTTGGTTACAGTATTAGCACAGTTTGTAAGTGTTTTGCAATAGTTGTGCAAAATATTTTCCCTATAGTCATCATTATATTTCAAATATTGAGTGGTAAACAGTCACTGACATTTTTCATTAGAGTTGAGAAGTGCATTGATAAATTGATCTTAAGCTTAGTAATGATCGACTGTCTGAACGGTGGGTTACATTCTTGTCTGTATTTGTCATCATAAGCTCAGCATGTTGACAGGTAAAAACTGTAAGTAATTATAATTCAGTTTTACATTATATATTACAGTAGTAGTTTTGACAAAGGCTAACTGGAATGCACTCGACTAAATATACAGACATGACGTTTTTGTAATATGTCATTGTAAAGGTAACTTTGCACACTTAACAGTGCACAACTGTAACAAAAAGAAAAACAGCAGCTCTGTTCATAGAATAAAATCATATAAAAATTCTTCCTGAAGGAAATATGCTGTACCAATAGTGTTAATGTTTTAATTTACAGTATATGTAATGTAAATACTTTTTAATAAAATGTACTGGCAATACAGTATTTGATTTTAAGTTATATTTTGTGAATTATTAAACTTATTATAAATTCTCTTTCATTGGATGGTTTTGTCATCTTAATTTTATTAATCCTGCAGTGCAGTCGGTTCACAATCCTTTAATCTGATGACTCTGTTTTCCCTAGTAGGAAATAGCTATCAAAAAGTTAAGCAGCTGTTGTGGGTTGCATACTAAGAAAGGTCAGTTATTGGCCTAGGGTGGGGGTTCCCAACCTTTTCTATCCCCGGCACCCCTAGAAAATATTTAATATTTGTTTGCATCTCCTACAAAAGTAATATCACATATCAAGATGGTTAAAATTATCCCCTTTATTCATATATGGGATCATTTTTTGGTGAATTGCAACACAGCTCTCCTCTTAGTAACACCCCCTGAAATGCCACTTTACAACTCCTGGGAGTATGAGTATGCCAGGTTGGGAACCCCGTGCCTAGATGGACCTCAATACATCTAACAGATTTCCTATTCCAGGCAATGGGAAGCCCTTTTCATGTAAAAATAAAAAAGCCAAAATTAAAGGGAAGAGCTTTGCAGTACTTATATCTTTAGCAAATTAATTAAAGTTGCATACAGAGGCCTTGAAGTATGTAATCGTCAAAGAGAGGACTAATCCAGTATATCTATATACTGTCTTATATTGCCCGTCACAGAATATACAATTGTTACTAGAATCATTTAGGATGCTAATATGAGAGCAGACAGAAAAAAAAGAGTAGGATTCACTGAGGAGTTTATCTGAAGAATTGACCCGTAAGAACAGTAGGAAAGCAAACTTTCTGATCGCTTTGAAAATCAGAACATTCTATTAGAAGATAAGTGAGTAGAACAGTGCAACTTTGACAATATGGTGCAGATTTATGTTTCAGTAAATGCCCATTAATTAATCTTGTGTGGTTTATATGTATCCCCACTTCCTATTTCAGTTATAGGAGCAAAGGCAGAGATAGGTCACATTTGATGGTATATAATTTATTTGCATTAGCTAATCATCAACCTTTCCAACAGTTGCTAATTGTTCAACAAATGACAGTAGAAATCTGGGAAAAGAATGGGTTTCTGCATGATGGGACAGGTATGTATGACTTCTTTAGCAGTGGTGTCTGTTAGGTCATTGGAAGCATCACCAGTATGTCTCATGCCTGCTAAAGATGAGAAACAACCAAAGCTGAATTTCCATCACAATGAGATAAGAACAGTAAAGACTTGATTGTCATGAGCACACTTGCAGAGTCGACTACAATAACATGATTGTTGGTTCATGAAAACTAACTTGGAACATAAAATATTGCAGAAAGTTTTGAAAGTAAGAATATTGGTTTTTGGAGAAAGGCAACAAGGAGGGGTTATATCAGAAAAGATAAAAGAAGGGCTAATTCCATTAGCAGATTTCAACCTGCCTATAAAAATAGCTATACAGGGTAGTGTGAATTTTGAGGGAAATGTCAAAAGGGACAGAGAGGAGTACATGCTTTCACCTTGAGGGTTAGTGCTCTTCAAAATTTCATGAATGGAACTTTCCACAGAGATAAGGTAAGCACAACATGAGGAAACATTACTGCAAACAGTCAAAGACTTATTGAGACTATTGCATGCTGTTCTTTGCAACAAAAGATGCAAACTTTGATGGGGATAGAAAACTGGCCAGTTTGTCAAAAGCTCCCCCATTTTTTCTGATAACTTTTGCAACTGGATTTATGAACTGCCTCGGCATTTATAGCTTTGGAGGGTAGACAATTCTATGGGTTTAGAACTCTATAGATGGGCAAAAAACCCTTATGAAGAGACTAAAAAGCTCTTCATTTACATTTCTAGGATGCCAAATAATAAGGGGTGGCATAATAGAAGTATGTAAATGGATGAAAGGGGAACTAAATAAAATTTCAGATTTGAACTAAATAAAACTCGAAACAATGGTTATAAATTGGATTAGTTTAGATTTAAGAATGACCTGCTTAACAGGCTGATTTGGTAACGGTTGTTAATTTACAGAACAAATTACTGTACAGTATATGACAAATAATAGATATAAGATCGCTGGCTTGTTTCAAGAGTGGGTTAGGCATATATTTGAATGTATTCGATGGATACAAATAAGAGCTGCCATATATGGACCAATAGAACCATCTTTAAGTTGGCAGAAAACTATACACACTAATTAGCCTAACTTAATTTAATTCTTGTTTAGTTTTAGTGTTTGTCTCATTAAACCTATCAATAATATAAACAAATTATATTTTATACCTGAAATGCTTTACGTTTTAGTGGCTTTATTAAATATTTATTTAATGTAACACCTATTTAATCACTGTACAGTACTGCGTTATCTATTTTTTTAATAAAAACTATTATTATTATTATTATTATTATTATAATAAAGGTGCAGATTGATTGATTGATTGATGAAGATTAAGCCACGCAAGATGTGGCACGGGCATGAATAGCCCGGAAATAAATGTGCATACGAAGAGTCACATTAACAAAGGTACTGGAGCTGGTGTACTAATGTGTGGTGTAGGGGTGAGGGTGCTGGACAAGGGACAAGGGTGGGGCAGGTAATTGTCGCGTCAGGGCAATAACGCAACAATTGCGTCACCCTGACACGACAACATTCACAAACGAATAAAAAAAAATCACGCCCTTATCACAAAGTTCTCAACTGAAAAAAAACTCCATAATAAAGTAACAAATCATTCAATAAATTAAATATCAGAATCACAACTACAATGAATAAGATTTAGGAGATTTAAGAGAGGAAAAATAAATGTTGATATAATGTATGTTTACATTCCTGAGGGCGATGTTGTCTAGCGGCGGCGATCAATCTCGCTCCATCTTCCTTTCCTGCAGGCTCGTGCTCAACCTCCTCCTCGGGGTGCTGCTCCTCTGCTACCTCGCCCGCTCTGGCTACCACCATGAAGAGTGCCTCCACGCCCTCAAGGTGTATAGTGTGAGCGTGATCGCCCTCGAGGTCGTGTGGAGGTGGGTGGCGGCTGCCGTCGGCGGGTACAGCGGCTGGACGGCCAGAGGCAAGACTAAGAGGTCCTCTAGGGTGAGTGGTAGCCTGGTGAAGCTGTATCAGCACAGGGGGTGGTTGTGAGTGAAGCGGTACCAGTACGGGTGGTGGTTGTGAGTGAAGCTGTATCAGCACGGGTGGTGGTTGTGAGTGAAGCTGTACCGGCACTGGTGGTGGTTGTGTGTGAAGCTGTACCGGCACGGGTGGTGGTTGTGAGTGAAGCTGTATCAGCACGGGTGGTGGTTGTGAGTGAAGCTGTACCGGCACTGGTGGTGGTTGTGTGTGAAGCTGTACCAGCACGGGTGGTGGTTGTGTGTGAAGCTGTAACAGCACGGGTGGTGGTTGTGAGTGAAGCTGTACCGGCATGGGTGGTGGTTGTGAGTGAAGCTGTGCCAGTACGGGTGGTGGTTGTGTGTGAAGCTGTACCAGTATGGGTGGTGGTTGTGAGTGAAGCTGTACCAGTACGGGTAGTGGTTGTGAGTGAAGCTGTACCGGTACGGGTGGTGGTTGTGAGTGAAGCTGTGCCGGCACGGGTGGTGGTTGTGTGTGGAGCTGTACCTGCACAGGGGGGGGGGGGGGGGGGAGGTGAGTGAAGCTGTACCAGCATGGGTGGTGGTTGTGAGTGAAGCTGTACTGTCATGGGGCATGGTAGTGCATGAAGCTGTACCAGCATTGACCATGGTAGTGTGAAGCTCTACCAGGTGGTGGTTGTGCGTGAAGATGTACCAGCATGGGGCGTAATTGTGTGTGAAGCTGTGTCCACATGGGGCATAGTTGTGTGTGAAGCTGTACCAACACTGGGGATATGAGATGTAGTCACCTAGTTGTGCTTTCAGGGGGTTGAGCTTTGGCTCTTTGGTCCTGCCTTTCAACCGTCAATCAACTGGTATTCAGATTCTTGAGCTTACTGGGCTCTATCAAATCTAGATGTGAGATGCTGCTGGTGCCCGAGTTGGTATTTTAGTGTGTGGAACATCTTGCTGTTCTTATGTTTACCCCATGTGTTGTCCTCTCACCATCTAGTTGTGTAGAGCAGTCAAACTCTTATGTTTATTTCCCTGTGACTCCTGATAAATATATTTATGCACAATTCTTCCCACCAAGCACCCAAAACTTTTAAAGTACAGTATGTACTGCAGAGTAATTTAGTGTAGGGCAACAGATGCTTTGTTGAAAGATTGAACACAGTGAGTTTTTTTACCTCTAAAAATTAATTTATATGTTCTTGCATATATATTTAAGTACAGTAGTTGATGCCTGATTTTCTTGTTTTGGCATCTAAGGTAAATTTCAGGAGCTCTTGTTTTTTATATGAGATAGAAATAAAAAAGTCTTGGATGTTGTCTTAAATGTAAATACAATTTCAGATTGTAGACGTTTTTCTGATTGTCATCTGGAGCATCTGCAGTGTTGTCATCACACACATTGTCACTGTTTTGTATGGTGCATATCTGATTGAGTGAGTACAGGACAAGTTACTCTTTTTGTTAGTTTAATTCTCAAGGGGAAGCAAGGTGACTGATGCTCTGGATGGGCTGACAAATTTTCATGAATGAATATTGTAATATATATGTGTGTGGTTTATCAATTCCAGTATTGCAGGATGGGAAAAATACTGTATATATTGTTAGGAAATGTTATAATAAAATGGGTATTCCTTATTGCAATATGATAACAGTGCAGTATCTCAACCTGTTTCTTGATTGGAGAGTTTATAAATACCCCGTACAGTAGTGTAATCAGTGTATATAGGTATTCTGGTACATCCCAAATTGTTGAAACTAGAAAAGTGTGAAGAATTAAAAGAGGTAAAATTCAGTATGTATTAAATAATTTACTGGTGCAGTACAACTGAAAATTGATATCCATAATATGCACAGGAGTGTTAGGAAATATAATGAATTCCTATTGTGGAGGACAGGAAGTCTCTAGCGACTGGCTAGTAACGCTCCTCAACAGGCACCTCACTGTCGCTCGTCTCTCCCCTTAGCCACTCCCGGGATATGCCGATCTCTTCCAATGCTACTCCAATAGCAGACAACACACTCTGCTTCTGATCGGTGGCAACTTACTTAATTGTCTGGTGGGACTAAGTCAGGAGAGCTTAGGCTGCCCAAGGTAAACTGCCATCCTCAGTACCAGTGCTGCCCCACGTCACCTCTGTGGACACAAACACGTCATTAGTTATTGGACAGTATTGGTGAAACCAAGAAGTAACACTTATTCACTGGGGACGGTGGCATAGTGCTCTGTAGCACAACCTAGATGGCGCTGATCTTGAGTCGCCACCTCACTAGAGGTCATCCACAATGACCACTTGTTAGCCAAGGCAGGAATCTTGAGCCATTTGCAGATATCAGGCTGTCACCACCAGATGGCATCGTCCAAATGACATCCGATACTGTGGGGGTTAGAGAGCAGATTCACAGGTGGCGCTGACGTTGCTACTCCATACTCCGACGATGTTGTCGGGTTCGCAACACCAACAAATATTATACATACAGTACAGTACTGGACAGGAAGGCTTTTTCAACAGTTGATTACTTCAAAAAGTTTTTAACATGTCCCTAAAAAAACTGTTGTATTGATTTTGTTAATTTTTAGGTTACGAGCAACAATAGCAGTGTCCTGACTGCTCTTGGGCCAAATCTGGGACCAAGCTGCAAGGATAAAATGAATTCTGAAAACTTTTAAAAGTAATGAACAAAAATTTTAAGCTTCAAATTTATGGACTGTTTCTGTTTATAGTTTCCTTATCAAACATAACATTTATAACTGTGAAGCTATACAGTATACCTTGAATAAAGAACAAAGTTTAACTGAAGAACTGATTTACAGTATTATTTGGTGTTGAAATCAGTACAAGTTGTTTGGAAATTATTTAGCTTCATCATTACAAAAGGTTGTCATTAAATTTGTGAATTAGATTTCTGTAGAAATTATCATGAACTTAATAAAATATTATATTGGCAAGTTTTTCCTTAAGGTACAGTATACACAAATGGAAATTGATAAAATGTTGAAAAAAGTAGTCAGATTTAATAAAAATGTGTGAATTTTTCAAGTACTGTATTACTGTAACTTTAAACACTGTATGAGCATTTCAAGAATTTATATTATTTCTAACCTGCTTAATGCTTAGGTTGAATAAACACCTATAATTCTGTATTGTGACAAAGCCTGATAATGTGCGAGCTTTGCACATTTGGATCAGTAATATCATTACATAACCACACACCTGAAGTTGAAGAAATGACGATGTTTTGGTCCATCCTGGACCGTTAAAGAAGAAACGACGAAGAAGAAATGTATGTTTCTTCATCTTTTGATGTGTGTGGTTTGGTCATCATATCATCAGCAACGTTATTGTGACTCATTGTCTGCATCAATACTTGAAGTTACTGATGCTACATAGGCCAGTACTGCATGCAAAGCATCAATAGCGTCAATACTAGATGTTGGTACTGGTGTGATTAGAACATGATAATCTGATCCAGTATTAATGTTCGAGTTTAACTGGCTTGTGTCCCTTGACCTTTATTACATGTCTGCTTCCTAGCTTGTACCTGTCTAATAGCATCTACCACAATAAATACTTTTTGCTACATTCTTATCTCTAGTATTAACAGTTGGCAACGACTTTTATAGACTGACCAACATGCAGAATTCTCCCATAGATGTGTTAAGTCAATTACTGTTAAGTCCTAAATGTTATAGTAATTAGATGGTTACAAAGTTTCAGTGCTTGGAAGCAGATTTGGTATGCAACATTTTATCTGTAAATACGTTTTTGTTCATGCGAGTCATTCTTAAGGTGAACATAATAAGCCATATTACCCATATCTTAAACAAGCTTATTGATCTTGATGGGAATATATTTTGCCAAATTAATGGTATTTTTTTTTTTTTTCCAGGAATTTTGAGGAGACTTTCACCTTTAGTGTACTTGTAGCATCATTAGCCTTCATAAGGCCACTCATTGCTCTCGGACCATCTGCCCTAATAATCATCCTTGAGAGGTAAACTGTGAAGCTTTAGACAGTATTTTGTCTTTTTTATTTTTTACTAGACAACTATAGTGAGACCTAACAAAAAGAGATGCCATTGTTACAGAATAACAAGGAAAGATGAAGTGAAAGCTGTTTAATGTCAATAATATATTTTGTGTGTGAAAAAGTTTGATGGCATCCAAATAGTTTTATTAGAACATTTGTTGTGGTAATCAGGCTGTATATAATCCTATTTTCAAGCTAAAGTGATTACATCAGGATGCAATGTATGGATGCAGCTATCACGGGCTGCTTCCTGGGGGTGGAGGCCTGGTCTAGGACCGGGCCGCGGGGACACTAAAAGCCCCGAAATCAATTCAAGATAACCTCAAGATAAGATGGTATGAAGGGTCCCTATGCTTGGGAATGCACTCAACCATAAACCATCACCAACAGCCATATGCTTGTGGAACCCTGGAGACATGCCATATAGTGACATTTAAGCATGTAAGGTACAAATAGAGCCTATGTGTGTTTCTAATTATCATTAAAAGATGGTTAAGAGGCTAGAATTTGGCAAGTTAATGCTTAAGATGAGGCTCTAAGCAATGTTCTATACTTTAAATATATATATCATTCACAGTATGTATATATATTAAGATTCATTAACAAATGGATTAAGATAGTCATACATTTATGTAAGAAAATGCTAATTTATTTGAATATCTGAGACCATTTTCAAAGATGAATCTCATATTGGGAAGATGTAATAGAAAATTGTCTCCTGGGTTACAGGACCACCTGCCTCTGGATGTGTGGGCTTTCTTACTTGAATATAGGTATTATGTTTGGTGGATACATATGATAAAGTGTAATGTTATGGTTTGGTTATATTTTAATAGGCAACAATTTCTTGTAGCACATGTAGAGATGGAAACAAAGGTAGATTTTAAGATGACTTTTCTCTCGCTAGCAAAATCATCATCTTAAATTTTGTAATTCGTTTCAAAGCTTACTCTTTTTTTTTCTATTCTAAGTGTTAATTTTTCAGATTGAGCTGGGACGAAGAGGTGGATGTTGAGTCCTTTGCCGTGTTGCTTGGTGCGTGGTTGGGAGCCATACCTATTCCTCTTGACTGGGACACTCCTTGGCAGGTAATTCTGGTTACAATACTCTTGTAAGGAATCATAAATACAATGAACTATGGACTATGAATATGAATTTATCTGGTAAGAAAATTTAAGGAGTGGACAGAACACTGGACGAGTGATCCTGTGGTCCCAGGTTCGATCCCAGGTGCCAGCGAGAAACAATGGGCAGAGTTTCTTTCACCCTGATGCCCCTGTTACCTAGCAGTAAATAGGTACCTGGGAGTTAGTCAGCTGTCACGGGCTGCTTCCTGGGAGTGGAGGCCTGGTTGAGGACCGGGCCACAGGGACACCAAAGTCCCGAAATCATCTCAAGATAACTCAAGATAACCTCAAGTACCTCATTTAACTTAGCTCTTTTAATATATGAAAAGTAGTTGATTTTGTTGAAAAGCCATTGAGTGTAATTGAAACAAAATTCTATATTGGCTTTCATTTTAAGTTTGGTGCATTTTTATTTATTGAGAGTGTGATAAATTAGCACTAATGTTAGCACTACGATAAGTTAGTAGTATCGTAAAAAAAATTAGATTTAGAGACTAGGGTACGAGGAAAGATGGGGATAATGGTGAAATCTATGTACAGGTTCTGCTGGTAGATATCCTTCATATGACTGGTTGAAATTCAGATTTTGCTGAGTGAGATGTTTACATAAAGTATTAGAAAATGGAGGGTCTGAATGGTATCCTTTAATATAGTTTTGGAGTGAAAGTAATTGAGAAAGTAAGTGTGCATAATTTAAACAAAATTATATTTTTGATTTTTGGCTTTGACAAAATTTACTGTTAAAAAAAATCCAGAAAATGTGGTGATTTTTGCCAAATTAAATTAAAAAATCTAAATTATATGGAAATCCCAGTTATTTGTGAATCTGAATTGGGTCCAAAAATATGATGCAAATTCGGAGGGTCCATTACAAGAATTAAACCACCTTTATTTTTGTTCTCACTCTTCCTCATAGCCAGCTAGATTGAGTTGCAAATCTCTCCTTGTTAAGAAGTGTGTCGAGCTATTGTTTATATATATCCTTCGAGTCCATCGACACATTTTTAAGCCAGCAAGCATTCACTTATTATGTATTTATAGTATTACCGACAACATTCTCCTTCACTCTCACGTGCACTCATGCTCATAGTGTTTCCATCTCTGTTTCTTCCTTCATTTTGTTTTATGCACCCAATTAATTTTGTTAATTATATTACATTTTATTTTACAGTATAAAGATAATTTGAGTTTTCCTTAACTTAAATTATTTGTTTAAAAATAGATACTGTAAAAAATTTCCATAAAATGCTTAACAAAACATTACGGAGAATGTTTTAGATGGGTTGTGTCTGGTAATACATCCTTATATGAGATGTCTGGGAGCATATACAATATATCAGTTGAGCAGGAACTTGACTGGGAAGTATTTCTACATCTTTCCTTTGATAAAATATGGCACTCAACTCAGAAGAGCTCTTACACCATTTTAGGTGTAATTTCCTAAATATAATTTTGGCTTCAAAACTTTCCTTGTCTACAGGTGTGGCCATTAACGTGCAGTATTGGGGCTGTTCTTGGAGAAGTTGGAGCTTCTGTTTACATCCTTGCAAAACAGAGGAAGGTGGGAGATTTAAGCAGGAAGAACAAGGCCACATAGAGTTAACACAATATTGATATCCTTGTATTTTAATTTATATTAAAATGGCAGAGAAGTGATCTATAATTAATTTTAAAACTAATGCTTTTTTTGCCTGTTGGCGTTGTGTGTGTCATCTCTGTCGTGTCAGAACTCTAAGTTGGTCTTGTATTTTTCAAGTTAGCTTAATGAATAGTGTGAGCAAGGATTGTCAGGAACTTAAGTCTATGTATGATTCTTGCTTCAATCAGTGGTATAGTGAAAAGTTCTTGAATGGACAAACAGATGATACAACCTGCGAGCCCGTATACAAGCAGTACCAGCACTGCGTAAAAGCAGCACTTAAGAAACTAAAGATCGATATTCCAAAAATTGAAGAAACTCCATTAAGTGACAAGCCTAAAGAGTAATTTAATACTTTATATACAGTCTCTATATTCTGTATATGTGTTTATATATACTGTATAGTGTCTACTTTTATATCCTTATGTGATGGCTTATCTATTTTTCTAAATAGGGTTAACATTTCATAAACTGAGTGAACATAAAAATAGTAGTTTTTTGTATATTAGTAGACAACTTAGAAATCAAAATGTTTCAATCTGTTCGAAAGTTTGCATCACACATGTACCGTCAGTATGAGCTCAACACAGCAATATATATGCTCGAACCCAAGGAGAAGCTGGCCATGAATGCCTTCTTCTTGTCAATTCTTGGTCTCATTACTTACTCTTCATATGTGTACTTGCCTCACTACACATCCACGATGCTTGCCTTCTTTGGAATTATTGACATTGATAATTGAGCTTTTGAATGTAAGCATTGGTAGGATAAATTTCTTTATTTTAATGTCTAAATTATCATCTGCCTGAAATTAATTCTACTTGGTTTAAGTGTTAGAAGTTAAAACTATTATCTGTACTTATTTTGTATTTTGCTTTTATTTCATATATGAACATTTTGCTCATTTGCATATCATGGCAACTCAGGGAAAACAAGTCAAAACCCTGTCTAAAGCTGAACAACAGAAAACAATCAAGGGTGCCCAGAAGCCCAAGAGAAATGTTGTAAAAAACACGCTAGAAAGCCCATTTGCCCTAGACTGGCCTGTTATAAGCACAGAACATAAAGGAGAAATTAAAGTACTTCTACAAAAGACTTGCTCTGGATTAAAGACACTCGGATGCAAGCCTCCTTGGAATGAAGTGAGAAAATTTAAGGGTGCAGATAGAACAGCTTTTCTGAAAGAATATCGGAAAAAGTTTCTAGACAGTTTAGATTCTGCTGTTGTAAATCAGAACAGAGAGAATGAAGAATTGTTGTCTCATTTGATTTTTGGCTATAATTCTGTAATGAGAGCTCTAGAGAAAGACTGTTTAGCTGGGGTTCTGGTTAAGAAGAATGTTGAGCCCCCATTCCTAGTGAAAGCATTTCTTCCTGGTTGTGCAAATAAGTGTGTTCCTCTAATTCCATTAGATGACCTTGATAGCTTGCTAAAAGACGAAGAGACCCTTGCATTGCCTCATGCATGCATGGTGCTTGGACTAAAACCAACTGTCAAGGATGACAATAATAGATTTTATGCATTGTTTACCAAGATGTGCGAAGCTGTTGACATGGAAGAGGGTGTGGATGAAGGTTTTGAGGAGGTGGAGTGTAGCACAGCAGTTACTGTTACAGAAGATAATAAGGAAAACAAAGCTTGTACATCCAACTATTCCTTAACACACGAGCAAGTTCAGTCATATCATTTGAAACGATCTTGTAAAAATAAACGAGCATTCATTCCAGGGGAAAGAAAAGAAAAGAATGTTGATGCTATGGAGTGTGGGGCAGGTTTTATCAGCCTTGAGCCTACTAAAGTGGATGCCTTTGTTCAAGAAGAGAAAATGCAGCTTGATAGCAAACCTGCTAAATTATCTAAAAAGAAGTCAAAACAATTGCAGAAAAAAGGAGCTGCTTCTAGTTCCCTCACATCTATGGACTTGAATAATATATTTATTGATGTTGGAGGAGATATGGATCAGTCAAATCAGAAAGATGAGAAACAAGAAAGTAGCAGTTTAGATGCAAGAAATGTTTATAATATGGAAAATGGCCAAGGTAAGAAGAGAAGAAAAACAAAGCCACACAATTTTCCATACGTGTCTGCCAAAACAAAGAGAGTTAAAAACAACCCAAACAGAAAAAACAATAAGAGTGGTAAAAAGAAAAAAGAATGAAAATACTGTAAATGCAAATTCTCTCTTTAAGCTGGGAATTGAAAAGTAGACATTAATATACTGTTATATGTATTTTTAGTTTCTTTATTGTGAGGGTTATTCAGTTTTTCGTTTATGCTGCATTTTCCTTTGCACTGTTCCTCCGAAAAGATAGATGATGAGGTTATATTAACATGGATTCATAAGCTAGCAGCCATAAGGAGTGGTAGGGACATGTGCAACATTTGATAAATGTTACTTGTTGGATAGTAGCCAAATGTAATGGATATTGCCAGAAATATAAATAATCAGATTACTGTAATACAATTAAGAAAGTCAAAAGTAATATCAAATTTGCTGCTATCCTTTGTCATTGTGTGGGCAAGAACCTCTTATTATTTAGCAAAAAGCATAAAGTAGCTGAAATCAGGCTTATAAAAATTACATTTATTTTTAAATACAGTACTGTATATAGACACTCCACAAGATTTTTAAGAGCTATTTTGACCAGCTTTGTAGGAACCTAGTACAAGTTAAAACTTTCAGCATGTTTTGATACATAAGTACTGTATATATATATGCCGGTTTCATACACTTTAGAGCAGTGTGTTATTACAAAAAATATTTGTGGTGCATTTAATGTAAACCATAGAAGCTTTTGCAATGCTTAAGTACTGTTTCTAAATGTTGGTATAGCTTACCTCTTAAGGTGAAGCAGGTGTCTTCTTAAAAACCAGGGGGCCAGATTCACGAAGCAGTTATGAACCTGTACATCTTTTCTCAATCTTTGGCGGTTTTGTTTACAATTATTAAACAGTTAATAACTCCGAAGCACCAGGAGGCTGTTTATAACAATAACAACAGTTGATTGGGAAGTTTTCATGCTTGTAAACAGTTTAATAAATGTAACCGAAGCCGTCAAAGATTGAGGAAAGATGTATACGTTCCTAAATACATGCGTAACTGCTTCGTGAATCTTGCCCCAGATCTTCTCATTGGTCTTAGGGTTGCTTGAACAAGGATGAGTAGTATAGTTAAAAAAAAAGTAAGAAATCACAAATGAATATAATTGAAGTTGACAACTGAATAATTACTTACAAGGATTGTGTGTTAATATAAAGAGGTACTGAGGAGTAAATGCCAATGTAGAAATTTGTCATCTTTGGGATCAAATGTATTAATTTGCCATATGGAAGATTTAATGTGTACTAAATATATAGTTAACTTGGGGAAATACAAGAAAACTGTTGACAGTCTATCATTCCAATGTTAATACAAAGAAAAGGGTGCCACTTACTAGTTAGTGCCTAGTAATTATGTTAACTAGTGGCAGAACCATATGGCTGAATTCTGCATCCTGTTAAGCCATTGGTACTAAGTAATCATATTTAGCATTTAGTTTCATATTAGTAGAGTTTGTTTTGCTACAAACATTAGATTAGAATTGTACATTAGTTAAAATTTTGGGATTAGTTTATTTACTTTTTGATTGTAAATTTACAAAATAAAGTCATTGATATCTGTAACCCTCTATCATCTCTGAGCAATTACTTCCGCCATCCCATGTGTGAAACAGGGCAAAGATGCCTCTCCCATTCCATGTATGAAATAGGGTAGGAATGCTTTTACCGCCCCATGTGTGAAATGGGGAAAAAATGCCCCCTCCCACCCCATATATGAATTAAGAGGATACATAGAATTAGCATGATTTTTATTTTGTGATAGTTCCTTTTCTGTGCAACAAAAAAAAAGTAATTGGTGGCAAAGTTTTTTGCTTTTCTGGTTTTATTATAATTGTATTTAAGATACAGTACAAAGTGTGTCCAAACTATGAGACCAGACACTTTGTGGTGGGGATGGGGTTTACCACGATCAATTTAAGGACTGATTTTTCTCCCAGAATGCATCCCACGATTGCCTAACTCCCAGGTATGCCTAATTATTGTTAGGCGAACAGAGGCATCAGGTGAAATGAAACATTCCCATGCTAACTCGTAGGAATCGAACCCGGGAGCTTTCAGTTGTGACTTGTCTGCGCTTAAACCAGCTTGTATATATAGATTTACTTATATATTGGCGCTTAAACCAGCTTGTATATATAGATTTACTTATATATTGGCGTTAAATAGTTTTTAGTTCATTATTATGCACCCCATACCCATTTTGTGGGCGGTAGTGGAAAGGGTTAGAGACATAATGGGCTCAGGGTCTCAACCTCACAATTCATTTAGCTAAGCAAGTTACAAGATGAGCTACTGTAGTTAGTTAAAAAAAGACATATTGCGCAAAACTGCTCGGACTGTAAAGGCATACATGGGAGGGAGGAGGAGGGAGGGGATGAGTTTGTGAGCCTGGCATGTGTTGCTGGGTCATGTGTGTGAGCTGGGGAGGGTTGCCTGCCACGACCACAGCTTCGGCCTCCAACACTCTTTCAAATACTCTCCTCACACTTGTCCTCTACTGTGTAACTAAGTAGAAATTTGATGTACGTTTAAAGTACAAGGATGCGCTGACGTCGGTAATTAAGTAGCATAATAAATTATCCATATTATGCGGTATGCAAACGGTCGCCGAAAATGTAAGATGTCGCACTCTGCAAGGTCGCTCTAGTCACTAGTGAGGGGCCCCGCGGCGAGCATACTCGACCCAGAACTGAGCGTAGTCTACGATAAATCCTTCAATACACGACCTAATTCACTCGTAGAACAAAGTATGCTCTACTGTATAATAAATATTATTATAACATCCCGATGAGTGAGGATAATATGTTAAAAATAGACCAATAAGGTACTTTTGTGAGCCATTATCGGTGAATGTCCATGGTGGTGGAGCGTATTGAGCTCCCCAGAATAAGCATAGTGCGAGGAGCAGTGGACACAGTGTCAGTGTGTCTCCAACAGTGGCGCGAGGAACATGTTTGTGGTCCAAGAATCCCTAAAACACCAACCCAAATGTCGGGTAAGCATCCCATTTTTTGGTTAAGTTTACACGAATTTCATTGTTTAACATTTGTACAACAAGTAAGTATACGGTAATGACACGTCTACGCAATTACTAAAAAAAAAATTAATTTCTTGAGGAAAGTACTTTTATTCTTTAAATGTAAGCTGCATTTCGATTGCATGGGCCTACAATAATTAAGGAAAGTAATTACCATAGATACATGAATAATTTAATATTGTGGTATGAGTCATATGGCAATAGACAAGTTTTTATATACTGGTCGCCTGGAGAATGTGGGCAGGCAAGGGTCGAGGGCTGTTATTAAAGGTCCGGCCAGCGGAAAAGCCAGACACCTCCCCCTCGGGAAGGTCGGGGCCACACCGCCTCCCCTCGGGAAGGTCGGGGCCACACCGCCTCCCCTCGGGGAGGTCGGGGCCACACCGCCTCCCCTCGGGAAGGTCGGGGCCACACCGCCTCCCCTCGGGAAGGTCGGAGCCACACCGCCTCCCCTCGGGAAGGTCGGGGCCACACCGCCTCCCCTCGGGGAGGTCGGGGCCACACCGCCTCCCCTCGGGAAGGCCGGGCCCCCCCTCCCCTGGCATCCTGGTAGTGGAGGGGACAAATACACCGCCATGGGATGAAGTTTAATTGAGGGTTGACAACAACCACAAAGCTCTCAGTATGCGGAAAGAATTCAATATACATAACATTCAGGAGAGAATATCAGAAATCAGTCTTATGATATGACAAGCTTCTGCATGACAGTGAAAATAACTTTGTATCAGTAGAACTGTTAGAACACTCACGAAGTAGAACTAATGATTCTAAATTCAAAGAACAGCCACTTATAATTAAATTATGGGACAGCAAATAGTACCTTTTGACAGCCGGACGCTTATATATCCCACAAAAGAAATTAATCACAAACAGCCCTCATGGTCAGCTTGCTGCTAAATCGAGTACCTTGGAATACACACACAATCTACCTTATGGAGGTTCCGGGATCAACGGCTCCGTCTTCTGTGTGGTCTTCAGCTGGTCCGCGGAGCCGTTGAAGTGAGTGCCACTCACCAACGGATCACTCAACTCTGCCACACCACCGACTATACATATTGTAATGATTTTTTTTTAACTATCTGACACTATCATTATAAAGAGTGAAAATTAGATGAAATTATTAATGTATAAATTTCCGCCGAGGTCTGATTAAGACCTCTTGTGCCCTCTGTAATCACTTTTGTCCAATCGCTCACAAGATGAGTATGGGGTTCACAATAAACCAACTGCCTCCGGAGGCAACAATCAATCAAAGAGGGCAGACTGTTAACGTCCTGCCAGTGGGGAAGAGTTGGCAATAGGTAAAGAGCACGAGAAGAGGGCAAGACCGTGATGAGAGAACACTAGGGGAGAGAGGTTAGGCCATGACATGAAAACACTAGGAAAGAAGGAAAGACCCCAGCTTAGATAAACAAAAAGCAAGGTAACCGTCAGAGCAGGAAAGATATGTAAAGGATAATCAGGGTTGGAGAGAATCGCTGGAAAGACCAGCGGGGAAAAGCTTTCCTAGAAGTTCAAGCTCAGTTTAGTTTATGGATTACAGAAGCCCGTCGTAGTAGGTAACATCTAGGCCTGCCGCATTTCTGATAGTAGTCATTCAAGGAAAAATATTAGAGCAGTTTTTTCGTCCTGCATCTTGGCATGGCTTGAGGATAAATTAATATGGTAGGGACAGGGATTTAGTATACTATTATATAAATATAAGAGGTGCAGATTGCGTGATATACAGAATGCTCCCTCAGGCTATATTACCATGTATCACGACTGTAATACAACTGGACTTAATGTGGTTATCGCGGGTGGTATTCGACTTTGTATCCAACATTCGACTTTGGTTCGAATGTTGGCATCACTTCTTCACTCCGGTCTCTCATGTCCACCCAATAGCAAACGGTATTTTTATATTAAAACAATTGTAACATACCATGTTTTGGGTAAAATATGGCGTTGAATCAACAAGCCAGATTCCAGTACCTGTCCCGAGGCCCTATTTCCCTAACACCGCCATATATGTGGATTCCCACATATTGGAGGAGAATCCAATATGAGAGGATTTCCCTAGCCCCCCAAAAAACCCCGGGGCAGTGACAATGACTGGAAAGATTTGCCTCACATTTGAAATGTCATGATACGACGATATGAAATTTATATGATATATATAAGAAGTTAATAAACATCGTTGCTGTCATAACGCACAAGAGAGACTTACGAGTGAAGGTTTTGCTGAAGTGTCACTGAGAATCAGCCCAGAGTGTACATACTATTCATTAACTTATCCTAGTTTGTATTTATTATTTGTGCGTGAATTATATTAAAATCGTTATTTATTCAAGTTTGAATTTTTAACACGTTAATGTTACAAGCGTCATGAATACTGAGCCCACTTATCAAGAGTTGACAAAATATACCACAACCACACGTCACACATCCGCTAGATATGGTTAGAGGAACTTGATTACAGTATTTGTTTACTGTCTTATCAAGTCTGTATACTAGCCTGTTTATCTGTTAGGTTCTTGACACCATTAATTCAGGTTAATTTTTAAACCAGAAATGTGGTTAGGCAAGATCAGGTTCAATTGATCTGGATTCGGAAAGGTTAGGCGGTTACTTTAAAGTAGGCTTCATAAAGTTAGGATATACCTGTGTGATTTTGTTAAGTAAAGTTTTGTTTCGTTGCGGTTTGCCATAGGCTGAAACAAGGCTCCTAAGGTCGACCCGCTGACCCTCCCCAGGATGCAACGCCACAACAAGCTAACTCCTGGGTATCTATTTACTGCTGGATGAGCAGAGGCATGAGGTGATAGGAAATGCGCCTAACCATCTGTGTCCCTGATTTTTTATTGTGAGTCGAGAACGAACTGGACTGTACTTCCGGTTAAGAGTTAGGGAACTCTTGAATCTAATTCTTGAGTAAACAGTTTATAATTACAGATATTTCATGTTATGTTATTATGACTCTTAGGTAAATAATGTATGATACATTTTTGTAAACTAGTCCAACTATAAATGTTCAAAGCAAACGTTTATGAGTGAAGTATTTCAATTCAATTCACTAAAGGCCAGCAGTTTGAATGATGCTTTCAGAAGCGTTCAAATTGAAGTGCATCAAGTGCGAAGGATGTATTGTTAAGCCGTCATCTAGATTTAATATGTCAAGCAACAGTATAGTTTAATATTACTTGAGAATATCGTCAGTCTAGACAGAAGTCTTTCGTTATACTTTTGTATTTAAGATTCTCCCCGCGCACTTCATGTGACCGTGAGGACAGATCACGTACACATATTTCCCAGTATTTTTTCTTAATTACAAGGTTGCAGAGCGCAAGAACATTGACTTGACACAAACGGCTTCCAATGTTAGATGTTCAGAACTCAATGTTAAGCAAAGTCTGTGTATGAACTCTGCCATATGAAGAGCTATATAGTACAGGTAAAATACTTAGGGAGAAAGAAAAGGGATGTAAAGTGTCCACTTATAACATTAGTAACAAGACCAAGACTAAATATTGTTTTGACCGCTAAGGAATGCAAGAGAAGAACGATGGATGATGTCACCTCAGGTCGGCAACAGCAGCATTGGCGTCATCTGGTGGCTGTGGGGCTGGAGGGGGAGGAGGAGACTGTGGGGCCTCATAGGAGGGGGGATAATGTTGTGGGGTTGAAAAGGGGGGCAGGAGGCTATGGGGTTGAAAATGGGGGCAGTTAATTGTGGGGGATGAAAAGGAGGGCAGGAGGCTGTGGGGTTGAAAAAGGGGGGGGGGGGGCAGGAGGTTGTGGGATTGAAAAGAGGGAGAAGGAGGCTGTGGGGTTGAAAATGGGGGATAGGATAGTTGGGTGTGAGGGTGGAAGTTGCGACGACCTTGGATACACAAGATGAATGACCATAGCTTAACTATAGTCTTCCTCTCCAACCAACTTCCACCCATCCTTTCCTTCCATCTCCTACCTCTTCCCGTTCCCATCCCATTTCTTTTTGTTCCCTCTTATTATCCTTCTCTGTATTTCTCCATTTTCTTTCCCCTACCTTTCTTCTCCTTTCCACCCTCTCTTTCGTCTCTGCTCTCCCTCTCTTGAAAATCAATCAACTTGCTGAATTCCTCATTCCGCAGACATTCCTGCTAGGCTTCCTTCCTGGATCCTACCCCTCCCCCCTCCCGACGAGGACCACAGCGAGGCACAATTTGCTCCAACATCAGTACAAGACTAGGATATAAAAAAAGATTATTATCGAAGTCATTCCCCCTTCTTGCAGGTGTGATATGCAGCTGGAATGCGAGAAGAGATCTATATGCTAATTTAGTTTGGTGGAAAAATAGAGGATGGTGTGAGCGGAACGTGAAGCGGCGAGATCTGGATAGTTTTTGTTTTGAAACGTGTTGGCAGCAGCGTGTGCGAGTAAAAAGTTGTTTCCGCAGTACATGGACTTAGTGGGGGGACTGGAGGCAGTGGTGATTGGTGTATGCTATCACCCCCTCGGCCCACACAACACCCCATCCACAGCCCCACCCCTCCGCCTACGCTGGGGGAGCATGACCATCGTAGAGATGACTCAAGGGTAATGGCATTCCTATCAGCTCCTTCACCGACCAACAGCGTACCCTACTCCCCCTTCACCTCTATCCTCTGTCCCCTCGACTCTGTGTGTAAGGTTTGTACTCTGTTAAAATCATAAAAAACACTGTATATTATTATGATTAGCTGAAGATAATTAGTGCATTTATTTATATCTGGACGAGGAATGGATCTCCTGTGTGGCCTTCAATCACAACCCACCTCTTTCTCATCCATTCATACCTCCGTACCTCTGTCACCAGCCCGTCCTCCTAAGGTTTCCCTACGTAAAGAAAACGGTCAATGTAAAGTGTCCTCTCCTAACCTACTAGAGGACCCAAAACAAAAAACGGGACACTACGTCACTTTCGCCAGCCGCTTCGATTGTCTAGTATGACAATTTT